TATTTATAAATTAAAGCTCAGACTCTGTGAAGTTATACATGTTAAACTTGTATATGATGCAGTGATTTCTGTCCCTGAAGCAAAGATAACCCTGAAGTTTATAATCTATTGCTGAAAAGGACGTTAACCAATTTTGTCTCTAGAACTCAGTCTTGTTGAAAGAAAAAGGCAATATGTATTTAACCTGAAATACTCTTGGAGAACAGTTTCACCATCTTATAGATGTCCTCATTAATGAGTGAGTTGAAAAAACCTTTGATATGTGTTCATTTGATAGTTGAATGCGAGTTTATGCTTTTTAACTTCTTAAAAGTTAGACTTGATAACAAGACTCACCATGGCTCAGCTTAGCGATCAGCATTAAGAGTTCACAAAGCCCTCGAAGTGTATGCATTTTTCAAAAGCAAATGCCCTATTAATTTTATCAGACTTTCCAAAGTGTCTTGGGGTCAAACTGAAGTCAAGAGAAGAATATCTGAAGACTCCTCAGACACCCTTGATTCTTCCATGTGTGCCAAATAGCATTCTGACTGCGAATTCTGCTTCATAGGTGTTCAGATATCAGAAAAGGCGAACCTTATATGGAGCATGGGGATTATAGTTTTTGTTAGTTTATTAAAATTCTTGTAAATGAATACATTGGCACCCTGACATATGCATCTGCCTCTCCTAAGAGTCAAGTTTTACAGGTCCCTTCAAGGCAACTGAACAAAGCTGAGTTCCTGCAGAAACAAAGAAGCTGGAGACCACAGCAGGGGAAAGGAGATCCTTGTCCAGCCTCAGGTGCCTCTCTGTTCAGCATGAGGAGATATCTTCAGCTAGTTTCCCTCTAACTCCACCAGTGGAGGCAGGGGAGATGATCATTCTAGCTATCTTCTCCTCGTTGGGATAGCCCAAAAGCATTTGCATTCTTCAGTGATGAGTTAAAAGTCACAGGAAGGAACGTAATTCATATGCTCTCAGGAAAGAACTAATTGATTTCTGAGCTCAGTCAACCTGCTGGCCCCTGACATTAGTTTCATGTACTCCACACAGAAAAAACCCTGGCCTTCCCCAACCCTTTAGGGAAGTCTAAGCACTTGGCAGACAGCTGGGAGTTGATGAGCACCATCTCTGTGAGGAGAGGGTAATGCCTCCTCGGCCTCCTGAGAAGGAGGGCCTGTGAGACTGCTCTGCCAAGCACCTAAGAAAGGGTCATTCTCTTGACATGAAGGGCTCTCTCTTTATAAAAGCTGTCCTTCTTCAAAGGGATAGCTCTCTTATCTGGTAATTCTACTGAAAACACGTTCTAGAAAGGAATGCCCAGGATGGCTGCAGATGGCAATACTTAAAAAACAACAACACAACATAACTGTTGATGTTTAAAATGTGGGAGAGGAGCTGAATGCCCTACAGAATCTGATTCAATGCAAAGGCCTCTGGAGATGTCAGCCCAGTTTGTGAAAACCTTCCACTTGACAAGACTGGGTTTAAAAACAGTGTTTCCAAAGTACAAAAAATCAAACACTGAAATCTTGAAGCAACTTTCCAGTTTCAGTATTAAGAGAGCGGTGCAGTGATGTGAGATTAAGTCTCCTTGCGAATTTAAACTGCATTTTTTTCCCTTCTGATTACTTATGGAACCTGGCACTTTTCCTTATGTTGACTGGCCATTTGTGTTTTCTATTTTGTGCAATACCTTGTCATGCATGTAACCCATTTTGTTAATTGATTTCTGTGTCTGTGTATTCATGTATTTATATATATTTACTGGCTTCCCTGACACTGGACCCTGGGCATGCTGCCCCTACAAGGAAAAGGAAGGAAAGGAAAATGGCCATATAATGTTTGATCAGTATGGCATGGCCCACAGATGGCCACTAGAATTTTGACTGGAATTACATTGAATCTATAGACCATTTTAGGACGAATTGGCATCTCTATGACAGGGATGCGGAATGTTTTTTCTGATAAGGATCATTTGTGAATTTATAACATAATTGAGAGCCATACAAAATTATCAACTTAAATTTAGTCTGCTGGCCCAACCAGCACAGCTCAGTAGTTGAGTGTCAACTTATGAACCAGGAGGTCACGATTTGAAACCCAGACAGGGCACATGCCTAGGTTGTGAACTTGATCCCTAGTGTAACATGTGCAGGAGGCAACCTATCAATGATTTTCTTTCATCATTGATATTTCTCTCTCTTTCTCTTCCTTCCTTCCTTTCCTCCTTCTTTCCTTCCTTTCCCTCTCCTCTCTCTCCCCCATTCCTCTCTGAGGTCAATAAAAATATATATATTAAAAATTAGTCTGCTGTATTTGGTCAAACATTTAATTAACTCTCCCCTACTGCCTTGTCAGGGCCAGAACAAACCATTTCATGGGCCTTATACAGTTGATGGGCTGGCTATTCACCACCCCTGCTCTACAATATTGACTTCTCCAGTGAAGAAGATGTGCTTTCTACACCTAAGTTCAGTTTTTCAATGCATTTCACCTTTTGTCCGTAATTTTCTACTGAAAGAGTATAGAGGATTTCCTCCATGGCTCCATTGTGGAATAGATTAGAATGACCAACATTCTAGTGTTGAAGCACCTTTGATTATGCCACATCACCTTTTATTTTATATCACCGATAAGTGCTAAGAAAGTTAGATTTTTATATCTATGTTCAGGGAGTGAGGAAAAGCAGAAAATAGTCTCTGAACATTCCTAAACCAGAAGTCCTCACTTACATGCTTTCAGATTTGAGGATACAGTCCTGGTGTAGCCAAAAAAAAAAAAAACAACCCCAAGGCAAATTGTGTAACCGCAAAGTACCCTGCGTTTCTAATTGTCTGCTTGCATTACACAAGTATACGCACGAAATCCCTGCATGTTATTTTTTTAAATCACAATGCCAAGTGCTGTTTTCAGGTAACACTTCTAGAGAGAGCTTGAGCTCCACATGCTTTATTCTTCTGCCTGCTGGTTGCAACTAACAGCGAGGCCCTAAGCTGTGGAATGGGGCCCCAAGGTCGAAGCCACAAGGTTCTTGAATCACTGAATGATTAAAAAGTTTTCCCTTTGATTGTTATGTGAGCAAGAAAAAAAAAAAAAGCTTATATTGTATGGGGCTCTTTTTTACTGCAGAGTTGTTTAACTGAAGATAATTGCAGAGCTGAATGACATAATTAAGCAGTGTCTGGCAGAGTACCTGGTAGCTGAATGCTCAGTAAATGTTAACTGTCTTTTAATAGTTAAGAGCAAGGTCTATAGAGGATGAGACCTTGGTTTAAACGAAGGCTGTGCTACTGAGCTGTGTAATCTTAGGCAATTTGCTTCAACCCAGAGAATTCCTCATTTGTAAAACAACAACAACAATAAAGAGATAATATTAATGTATAGGAAAAGTTATTAAAAATAAGACAATATGCAGGTTTTCCTCTCATCCTGAAACCTCCTTTATTCCTGATTTAACACTGTTAAGCTCATTATTGCTTTTCCATACTGCAGAATTGATCACAGCTCTCAGTGGAGAAAGCCTGCTGGGCTCACAAGTGCCATTTACTTAAGTGAAGTCAAGAATTCCTGTGCCATGGCTGATCCACTCTGGAGACACCATGATGAGTCTGCAATCCTCTGGTAACTGACTGAACTACCAACAGGCACAAAATCAGCAGCCCTTGGGTCCAGCGGGCAATAAAGAGAACATCTGAATTGTCACAGATCTCCTGTCACCATAATATATTTTGGAATCCTAAAAATGTCATTGTTTTCTGATGTGAGAAAAAAATTAAAACATTTTCTTCAATTTTACTAGTTCATTTGTTTTTCTTCTAATTTTAAGAGCAGCTAAAATATTTTCCTAGAGTCCAAAAAGTATCATGGGTCCTGGCATTATATGCTTGTTGTGCCTAAGGGATGAGCCTGTTCTCATTTGCTGCAGAATGACCCAGTGGGGGGGAAAGAGGGAAGGAAAGAGATTTGTGGGACAAAATAGGGAAGAAAATATAACGTTCCAAAGATGAACATTGGCAATGGCTACTTTCCATGGGACTAGGTGCCCTGAAAGACCACAAATGTTTAGTTTGCCTAATGAACCTATATTCTATACAGACATCCCAAACTTTTAGAGCCTGTAGCCATTAGCCATCACCATTATGCAGCATCCCTGGCTTTGCTTTCAGGCTGTCCCAGCAGCCTTCTGACTGCTGTCTGCCCTATGGCTTGCTCACAGGGAGAAAATGCCCTGGTGAAGCTGAAGTGAATGGTTAGTCTGCTTGATGGGCAGCTCCTCCCACCAAAAGGCGGAGTCTGTTTCCTATTTCATCCCTTGAATCTGGGTTGGCCATGTGACTTGCTTCAGCCAATAGAATTTGGAGGAAGTGACCATATATGAGTTCTAAGACTAAGCCTCAAGATACCTCACAGCTTCTGTTCTTGGTCTTCTGGAGCCCTAAGGTTACGCCATGTGTAAGGCCAAGCTAGCCTGCTGGATGATGAGAGACAAATGTCCCAACCACCTCCACCATGCCAGATGACAGCCAGGTACACCCCAGAAGCAGAGCCTCCCTGCTCATGTGCAGCAGGCTACAAATATGTGAGGGAGTCCAAGCAAGACCAACAGAAGAACCTCCTAGATGAACTCAACTTGCTAAAGCATAGACTTTCAAGCTAAATAAATGGTTGTTATTTTAAGCTACTAAATTTTGTAGTAGTTCATTGTTCAATAGCCGATAACCAATACAGCAGTGTTCTTAACAATTCCCCATTAACAATCCTGAAGTTATTGCCATAGTTTGTCTCTGAGAAGCTGTAAGATGTGCCTTTTGACATAATAAAATTGGCATTTATCTTGGGCTATCATGAGCTTCAATGACTCTCACAGAAGAAATTGCTCCTGCTTTTTCAAAAAAGATGCTAAATGATTTGGTTAAACAGCACAGAAAATTTTGGATTTGCCAACATTCACTTGAGGAGAGAGAGAGGGTTAAATAAATACACAAAAATTGCATTATCAGACATAGAATTCTGACCTTCAGCCGGCGGTCTGGATCTCCACTGCATAGGGAATTTACTGATACTTTGAATGATTTCCAGGCTGGGCTTAAGTTATTCATCACAACCTGAAAAGAAAAAAGAGAGGAGTGGTTGGGTGAGAGAGAAAATGCTTGACATTTTCACATTTAAACAAACAAACAAAAAATGCTAGAGGTGCTTTGTGGCCCTTTGCAAAGGACAATTGTTTGGACCAGGTGCCTTAATGAAAACCTAGAGTAGTAAATCTTTCAAGGGTTTCCACTAAGTGGGTCATATGGGCAGAACTCCTGCCATCACTGGCCTGGCTGTCATTTCAAGAATAAGTAATACTGTCTAGTATGTGGACACTGAGGATGACTCATTCTATATCAAAGGGGATTGGGATTAAGGAGGTGGGACTACCTCTGGCCTCTGATAAAACATCCCCTCTTCTGAAGGATGGTTAGTCCTAGGACATAAGTTCTCTTTTATTGAGGTCAACATAGGCAAAGAGTATCGGTGTGTGTGTGTGTGTGTGTGTGTGCACAATTCTACTGCTAAAGAATTACGTGGTCTTTGATAATCCATGAATTTGATTTAGATTCGTTTACAGATCAGAAGGTTCTAGAAGAAAAATCCCAGGAGCATATTTACACTAACTATCCTAGGAAGACAGACATAGGGCCGATCTTCAATGTCATAAACTAAGTCTATTAAATAGTGAAACACATTTAAAAGCAGCTTACTAACCATGAAGTTGGCTAAATCCTGCCCAAAATTCCTCATGTCATGTCTTATCCTATCATCACTGACTCAAATAATTCATTTTGTTTTAGAATGCATGAGTATTCAGACTATTCCTGAACCAGCAGTGGCTGTATCACATGGGAAATTGTTAAAAATGCAAAATTCTAGGCCTGGATAGTTTGCTCAATGGTTAGAGTGTTTGCCTGTGGACTGAAGGATTGTAGGTTCAATTCCTGGTCAAAGGAATATACCTTGGTTGCAGGTTTCCCAGCCATGAAGAAGCATGTGGGGGAGGCAACCAATAGACATGTCTCTCTCAAATCAATGCCTCTCTCCCTCTCTCTCTCTCTCTCTCTCTCTCTCCCTCTTTCCCTCCCTCCCTCCCTTCCTCCTTCCCTCCTTTCCTTCCACTCTCTCTATAAATCACTGGAAAAAATATCCTCAGGTGAATTTCTAGGTTCCACCCAGACCTATGGACAGAAACTCTGGAGGATAGCCCTCCCCTCCAGGTGGTTCTGATGCATGAAACCACTTCTCTAGGGGACATAAAAGGAACTTAAATAAAATTGCCATGTTGATTTTTCTTCCTATGAAGTTATTAGTAAGCAGAAGTCTTAGCACTGTAAAAAATTAATTCTCTATCCAAATAACATAATTATTTTATAAGTGATTCTCTCTTCTACTGGAATCCTTAATATAACCATGAATTATTCATTATATCATTGGCTCATTATTAAATTTCTCTTAATGCATTGAAGTAGAAAAATACTGTTTCTGTGTGACTTTGTCTTAAGCTCCAATACCCTGGGGATTATCAAAGTGACAGTGATGAGAAAAGTTAGATAAAATTATCTGGGTTAGGTCAAAATTCTCTCCTTTATGTAAAAATTAGAGGCCCAGTGCACGAAAATTTGTGCACTGAGGGAGGTCCCTCAGCCTGGCCTGCACCCTCTCATAGTCCAGGAGCCCTCAGGGGATGTCTACCAATGGCTTAGGCCCGCTCCTTGTGGGAGGCAACCAGCCAATCAGGGGAAGACACCCCCATCCCCCAGTGTCACTGCTGCTGCCTCTGGCCTCTCTTGGCAGGAAGTGACTGGGCTGATCAGGGGAAGAAGATGCCCCCATCACGCCTCTGCTGCTGCCCCTGCCAGCCCCCAGCAGCCACCGTGGCTTGCCTGAGCCTTGGGCCAGCCCTGGGCAGCAGCTACCATCTGCAACTTGTCTGAGCCTCAGGGAGTTGCTGTAGCTTTGTCCAGAAGGACATCTGGAAGATGTCTGCTCTAATTAGTATATTACCCTTTTATTAGTATAGATACTAAGGAGTAAAGATGTCTTATTGCAACAGTTTTGAAAAACTCAATAGCAAATCAAAATTTCAACCAGAAATTTCCTTTGAAATGAAAAATGTGCATGTGTGTGTGCCCACAAGAAAAAAAACCCCCAAAACAACGTTATGTTGCTTGACTAACTGGAGAAGTTTATAGTCACATTTCTTGTGAGACTCCAGGAACCCCTCAGCAATGAGGTATTGGGGGGAGTTCTAGAGATTCTTGGGACTAGGAGGCTTTAACAAGATCAACAATGAGAAGAGAAATGCTGTGAGGAGCAAAGGAGAAAAGGATCTTGTGAGAGGCCAACAGTGCACCATCCATCCCTGTTCTCCTTGCACTTTAAAGCCTCCATTCACCGACTACAGCAAAAGCCTGAGTGGATACACTTCTGGTCCTCCCCAAAGTCTATTTACATCTTCTGAAAAGTCTGTGTCACCGAAGCAATCCTTATGTGTGAAACTATCACTGGGGGTGAAACTATCCCAGTTGCACCTCAATCTATTGCCCAGGGATTAAGTTCCAGAGCATCATTTTGTGCTATAACTTATAGTGGATACACTACTCCATTCATTTATCCATTGTTGTATTAAACCCATTTTATGAAATGCCAAGTATGCATTCAATGGTATCCACAGACTAGGCCATTCAACACTATTTAATACTTGTCTACTCTAAGTATGACAGGTTCTGTTCCCCCCAATGCTACTTGCAACTCTGTTACTTCTGGAAAATGGAACTGGATTTCCAGTGTAGGGTAGTGAGAGCATGGCACCTCCACTCTCATCGTATGAGTCTGGAGGGTTCCTTCTTCCTGCTGGTGAGCACAACACAGGGTTCCTGCTGGTGAGCACAACACAGTCTTCTCTCAGCTCCAAGTCAATCGTCAAAAATTACCCCACTTACTCCCCATCAATGCACTTCTCACTCCTACAGAATCTCTCTTGGAACTGGCTTATAAATAAAATACAAAGTAGAGATTGGGGTTGGTGGTTGAGTGGTACACAGTAGTGGGTAGTGGGAGGGGGTGGACAGTGAGGCATAAGGTTTGGAGACACATGGAGAAAGAGGAGGGAAGTGGAAAGGAACATGCAGACAGACCCAGTGGCTGCTGAGGAAGGCTGCTGTTCACATGAGAGGCTTGATATCAGTGGAGTGTATCAACTTTCTCTGGGGAGGCAGATTGCCTTTCCCAGTTACAGTGAAGCTCAGGATCAAACAAACTCAATTCAAACTTCAGTTGTCCCCCTTGTTAACTGCGAGAACTGGGAAAGTGCCCCGACCTCCCAAAAATTCAGTTTATTCAACTGCAAAATGAGGGTAATACTAAGCATGCCAAAGGATTGCTGTGAGAAATAGATAAAAATAATGTGTATAAAATCACTTAGTACAATGTTTGGCGCCTAGTCACCTTCATGAAATATTACCTAGTATTTATATTTGTATTACTATTAAAATAATGAAAAATTTGGATGAGAGAGGATCTTCTCTTCTTACAATCTAAATTGAGGATAAAGAGTCTTCTTGAGAACAGTAAGGACTCATATCTGAATGCATAGCTACAGACATTAAGAAATGGAAGGGTTTTCTCAAAACAGGTCAATTTATCATCTGAGGAGATGAGATGGCATAGTTATTACCTCAGTTCGGTGTACAAGCTGCTGAGTTGCATCATCGTTCATACGGAAAATTTCCAGAAATGGGTCAGATTTACTGAAGAAATCCTAAAACAGACAGATAAATAAAAATAAGTTGTGTTCCCTTCGCAAACACATCTAACTCAGCATATAGCATGAATTTAGCATATTTCCCCCACATAGTCATACTGCAACTTCCCAAATGTACCTAGAAAGCAGTTGTTCTCATGATACTTATCAAAAAATATTAGGAGCTTTATGTATTTCAGTGGCTTTTAGTCATGAACCATTTCCTCAATGAATAGATAAGCTCAACAGCTAACATGTAGACAGCTAAAACAGCACTTAATGCTAAAAGCTAGAAGAAGGTCCTCCCTGAGAATCTCTGGGAACTACTTTCCCAGCTGAGACATGAAATAATTATACTCTCTTATTTTGGCTTGGTGACAAAAGCACTGTGGCAGATTGCATTTCCCATAGGTGGCCATCGCAATGTCCACTGTCTACATGCTTTCTACAATATGACTTTGCTACTCCCTCACCAAGGCATGGAGTCTAACTCCCCTCTCCCTGACTCTGGGATGGCCTCTTGGCTTTCTTGTAACCAATAGAATATAGCAGAAGTAATGAAGGATGACTTCCAAAGCTATGTCGAAAAGGCCACACAGCTTCTGGAAAAAGCGAGGCATCATGTAGGAAGTGTGACCATCCAAAGACCACCATGGAGGCACTCTAGCTGAGCAACGGAGCTGAGTCCATCCTTTTGGCCAACTCATGTGCCATGCATGTGAGGAAGCTACAGTGGGCACTCCAGATAAGCTCCTCCATGAGTGACTTTTGCCAATATCACTAGGACCAGAAGAGTTATCCAGAGTGGTACACAGTAGTGGGCAGTGGGGGGGTGGACAGTGAGGCATAAGGTTTGGAGACACATGGGGAAAGAGGAGGGGAGTGGATTTGAATTTCTGGCAGACAATATAATAGTTGTTAATTTAAGTCACTGGGTTTTAAGGTGGTTTTGTTATACAGCAATAGCTGACCAGAGCACTAATAGTGACTTTGTCATCAAACAAATCAGTGGCTTTATTTTCCAAAGAGGTTGTATGAGATGATCTTCATGGCATCATCTTGCTTCTTAAATTCTACAACTTTGCCTTCTTTTCACCTGAGACCATTCACCTTCCAGTCCAAATGGAAGCAATGACCTCTGCTTGGTTCTGAACAGGGCCTGCTCCTTGCTGGACACTAAGGAGTCTGGGCAGGACACCACCACTTTATAGAGGACCTGGGTCTGCAGCACTGGGGCCCTGAGGCACAACAGTGACCACGGTCCTGGATAATCTGCACAGTCAAGGGTGGGAATGACCATCTCAAACCATATTAAATGCTACACAGGGACTCGCCCAGCTTTATGAGCAGTGCTCATTTGAATGAAAGGAAACTTCAAACACTTTCCAGTCAATATGTCCACTAACAAACCTGAAAGTCTTCTTGTGCTGTGACATAAGTCAGAGGACAAATTAGTGGTTCTTAAGAGACTCCTAAGTGGAAAGAAGCCATTATAAGCTATTAAATGAATAGTGTAACACTGCTAGACACTGACTCCATGGCTTATAATGGTTCCTGGGAAGACACTACAAAGCAGTTTGGTGAATTATTCTGAAACCTGGGGATATGATAGGGAGAAAGAACATAATGGTTCCAAGGAAGTGAAGGTTAAAAGCTTACACCCAATTGATATCAACTCACACTGCGGTTCCCAGCACCAAGTTCATGCTAATGTCAAAAGGTAGCGGTTATGTGTTTTACACAATGCACTCAAGATACTAAAAGAATTAAAATATAATTCATTCACAAGGATAAAGTCTTTCCCGATGTCCCTTCAGGAAAGAATGAATTACCCTTCTCAGGGCACTTGGGTTATACATCACTTAGCACATCCTGTCATGGCTACAGTATTATTATATCATTTGCTGTTTAAATTTATGTTTCACTTAGATGGTGGATTGCAGGTTGTGGGTAGGAGAGTGGTTTAAAGTATATCTTTTTCCTATCACTGGATGAATAAGCATGCAATGAAGGTTTGGTAAATAACAGACGAATAAGTAAGTAAATGAACAAAGGAAAGAGTGAGTTGATAAATGCATAAATGGGCTGAGTATTTTTGCAGGTGAAAGTGAATTAGACATGTCAAGATATAAGCTTCTGTTTAAGAGTTTAGGAAATTGCTTAAGATACTGCTTTACCCTCTTCATCTAATGCCTATAAGCAATCGTTGGAAAAAATGGTGCCACACCCAAAATCCCATCTTCTCTAGTTGTACTCTAGGAAAACAGCCCTTTGTGAATATAGTCATGAATGTAATGTGTTTTCTGATTCAGGATATGGTGGAAGAGAAATCATAAATATATGGCGAGGACACCCCTCCCCCCCCCCTTTTTTTTAAAGAAGTGGAAACTGTACAACATTTTTTTTTTTTTTTGGTATATGTAAGACTAACATGGATTGTGATTGGGTGGGAGATGTGAGATATAATAGAAAGAATACAGATGACAGTGAGGCAGACATGAAACTGAAATCTCAGTTTAACAATGCTTAGCAGGATGTGGTGGGCACAAGAACATATAGAACCCCTCTTACTATAGGGGTGTAACTGACCAAAGGCCCCTGCAACATTTTGCAATTCCCACCCTGCACTCGCACCAAGGCCAGGCTTCCCATGGAATGCTCCCAGCCAGCGACTGCGTGTAGAGTCAAGGAGACCAAGAACTAACTCTATGAACTAGAAATAGACAAGTAAACATGACTCAACCAAAGGACTTGTATGCATGTATAACTAATGGACACAGATGGGGGTGCAGGTGGGGAGGTGGGAAGGCAAGAGCATGAGCTGGGGGATGAGAGTGGCCAGCAATAGGTCAATGGGGGGAAAAGGAGACTTTTGTAATACTTTAAACAATAAAGAATTTAAATTTTTAAAAAAAGACTCTACCAATACCCCTATAAAAATTTATAATTATTGCTCTGAAGCCTCTATTACAGAGACGCTCACTGACATTTAAGAGAGATAGTGTGAAGAGGCCAACAGAACTGGATTTTAATACCAGATTGGTCACTTACTAGTAATGTGATCTTGAAAAACTTCTCTATCCCCTCTGAGTCTACAATTTTCCCATGATTAAAATGGTAATAATAATATCCATCAAAATTTTTTATAAAAAAGAGTAAATATGACTGATGTTAAGGGTCTAGTTCTTATGGTCCTTTTGAGGTAAGAGGGTTTTTAAAAATATATATATGTATATATTTTAAATCATATATATATATATATATATATATGATTTCAGAGAGGGAGGGAGAGGGATATAGATAAAAACATCAATGATAAGAAAAAAATAATTGATTGGCTGCCTCCTGCCTACCCCATATCGGAGATGGAGCTCACAACATGAGCTTATGCTCAATCAGGAATAGAACTGTGATCTCTGGGTTCAAAGGTAGATGCTTAACCACTGAGTCACACCAGCCAGGTGCGATATATGTTTTTAAACCTCACACCAAATACTTGGAAACACAATTTGGGATATAAACCTTGTTCTGATGGAATTGTTTCCCAATTCAACAAAGTCTTAACTGCTTATCCATGTTAAGATGAACTGGCCTGATTGACCTATTAAATAAGGAATGGGTCAGAGAAGTGAAGATCTTGGTTCAACAGTTACCCTCAGTAAAATGCATACAACTTCAGTTAAGCTTGACCTTTTGAAAATGATCCTAAAGTCTGAAGCTGAATAAGATCAGATTCCTTCCACTTATAACACTCTATCTTTCCCGGATTCCAGGAAAACCTGCATGTTGACTACTGAACTTGCTGACCAATTTTAGCTCTAACTCCCTTGCTGAACCTTCCTTGAAATGCATGGTATTCCAGGACACTGCCCACCCTTCCTTCCTTCTCTCCTTTATTCATGGTCAGACTTGCATCATGGTCTGTCAGCTCTCCCAGACTTCCTCCCTATGTTCCCTACACAGGCATGTCTCCTAACAAAATCCTTGTGTATTTAATCTTGTCTTGGATTATCCGAACTAGCACATCTTTGAATCTGTTTCCTCATTTGCAAAAACAGTGTTAATATTATCTGTTGCCTGGAAGTTATAAAAATGAATGAATGTGATAACACATGCAAAGCTCTTAACCCCGACAAATGTAGGTGCATAACAAATGTCACTTTTCTTTCCTTTTCCATTTCTTCTTTTCTTTTAAAATGCCCCTACCAATGGATTAAATTATATTTTACCCATGCATATCTGAGCTGTTGCATTTGGGAACAAATGAAGTCTTTTTTAAAAAATTATTTATATTGATTTTAGAGAAGAAAGGAAAGGGATAGAAAGAGATAGAAACATCAATGATGAGAAAGAATCATTGATCAGCTGCCTCCTGCATGCCCCCTACTGGGGATCGAGCCCGAAAACCAACATGTGCCTTTGGCCAGAATAAAACCTGAGACCCTTCAGTTCATAGGCCAACGCTCTATCCACTGAGCCAAACTATCTAGGGCAACAAATGAAGTCTTAGTGTAATAAAAATTTCCTGACTTAATTGTAGCCTCTCTTCTATCTCATTAACTAATTCACAATTTGAGGAAAGTCTTACTTTGCAAACCTCTCTGAAATCTGATCTGTTTAATAATGTAGGCTGAAAATGGGGAAAAAATAGCTATAGGGGAAAATCTGATTAAACTTTGTGAGCCAGCTTTATTACTTCCTTCAGTAAGGTTAATGCCAAACACTTTACCTTGTCATCCAATTTCCGAGCGTTGAATGCAAGTTCAACATAGTCATCATTGCCAGATAGTTCTTCAGCAATCACCTAAAGGAAAAAGCATGCATCAGCTGCAGTAACGGTTGGACCAATCAGCCCAGGAATTCATGAACAAATTTAACTCATATTTGGTTCAAAATCAACAAAAACTGACGCTGGGAAAGGAGTTTTCTACAATGCTAGTGAGCATGGCACAGCATTTCCAGGTGTTTAAGGCCACTCCTTAGGATAAACAATAGTAGAAAACCAGATTTCATTTATGCTCAGCATGACAACACAATTGATGGGGTGTAGGCTGGAAGAAGAGACAATTTGGAGCAGCAGTTAGGAAGAACATTGGATGGCACATCCATAAATAATTACACACACACACACACACACACACACACACACACACACACAATTTCCCCCTTTGGAAAGTTGCAAATAAGAAGGAGCAGTAACATTTCCCCACTGTTTTTAGACCAACAAGGGATAGGGAAATAAACCAGTCTCTATGTCCTTTCTAAACCAATGATTAAATGACCACCAAAAAAAATGTTCTAATTCCTATTTTCTTTTGTAATCATCTTCAGAGAGAAATGCAGAGGGAAAGAGAGAGAGAAATATCATTGATGAGAGAAAATCATATCTTGGCTGCTTCCTGCATTCCCCACACTGGGGATTGAGCCTGAAACCCAGGCATATGCCCTGACTAGGAATCCAACCATGACTTCCTAGTTCATAGGTCAATGTTCAACCATTGAACCATACCTGCCAGGCTAATTCCTATTTTTTTTGTAAAAGACTCCCCCTGGGCTTGAGAGAGAGAGAGAGAGAGAGAGAGAGAGAGAGAGAGAGAGAGAGAATCCTTAACTCTCAAGAACAGAATTCTTGACAGAGATTTTGGTATAAGTACCTAAGCATCTCTTTCATAATAAATTGTTTTCCAATATTTAATAGTTAGTGACTCTCAAAGCCTGGGAATAGAAATTGGTGGAAAAACAGGGGAAAAACAATAATGATAAAAATCTAGGTACTGTCTAGTTCCAGATAGGTTCAACCATTCACAAATAATGTTTGGGACCTAACTGGGCATTTAGAGGTGTGGGACATGGATATCCTCATCAGATTGCTTATGTCAAGCCACTGAGCTTTAATTCAATTACATCTCCATTTTATCTGAGCTCAACTTTTCATTATAAGTTGGGTTCACATGGTTAGCCTCTGGAAAATTTTATTTTACACGTAATATTAAAGCCAAAAACATTGCCTACGAAGTAGAAAACATGAGTCCAGATAAAGAGTAAAAACTCAAAAACTTTTTTGGTAAACCATCCTAGGTAGATTTTCCACTTGGTCCTCTTTTGTACCTTGTCATCTTCATGCCTCTTACACTCCACTTGAGCAGTGGTCTTTAACTGTTTTGTGGTCTTTAACAGACATCTTTGGAAACACAATGGAAGTTATGATCTTCATCTGCAGAAGCTTAGAAAATTTTGCACATATTTTCGAGAGTTTTCCAAAAGCTAATAGAGCCTTTGTTTTGATCCAAAGACCCAAGATTAAGAGAAGTATTTAATTATTTAAAATGAAGGAGATAAAGTTTCTCTGGGATGTGTGTAGGAAGAAAATCTCCAAGATATCTTAGAGAAAAAGGTAGCAAGGTGAGGTTTCATTCCCATGAGAGAGACCCCTGGCAAATCACACACCCGGTCTACCAGCTGAGGCTTCTCTGGGTGTGCGCTTTGGGAATGAGCCTTCAGTTCCCTGGCTTTTGGGAGCACCCAGTGGATCTTCAAAGCCATTTGAACCATTTGTTCATCAGTGAGCATGGAAGTCAAGAGAAAGCTTTGACATGACTGCATCATTTCGAATATTTAATTCAGATAAGTCATTGTAAGAATGGTCCTAACTTTCACTAGTAGGAATTCTTAGGAATTTTTTTTTTCCTTTAAAAAGTGGCTTACATTAACAAAAAAATAAATAAATAAATATATCAGTCACTTTTAAGTTAAAAAGAAATGTTCAAAGGAACTCAGAAGGCTTGCCTCCTGGCAATTTATCTCTCTAGCAATTTAGATTCACATAGCTAACTGGCTAGAATACTTTCTCTGCCTTTCTCAAAGGCTGTAATATAAGAGGTCAATGTTTCAGGTATAGGAAAATGTAAGATTTTATTAAGAAGTGCTCCCAGCATTGCCATAGAACATTCTGCACTCATAGCAAGTTTCTATAATCTGCACTGTCCAAAACAGTAGCTGCCAGCCACATGTAACTATTGAGCACTTCGTATGTGGCTTGTGGGACTAAGCAATGAATATCTGCTTTTATTTAATTTTAAATAATTGTACGTAAGCTCAAATAATCATGTGTGGCTAGTGACTACCAAACTATTATATTAAAGAAGAGATTTGAATGCTGGGCTCTCTGGTCTTAAAGCAACAAATCAAACCTTGGACTACATGGGATTAGAGCAAATTTTTGATTTTTAGAAAAATGAGAGGCAGGGATAGGTAGTTTTAAGGATGTGAAAATCCCACACAATTCCATGTTCTTACTGAGCTCACTAACTCCATCACTATTTCCCACTAAAACCTATATTGCAATTGCAGAAGTGCTTAGTGGAAGCAAATGGCTGTTCTTTCAGATCCTTTTCATCCCTAGAGATGAAAAGGTCAAAATTGTATTGACAGGTGGAGAAAAAGAAAGAAAGAGAGAGGTGGCTTGGATGATTGCACCATTGTGGCATCAGTTCCCAATAGCCACGGGGTCTGCTTTGCACAAGTCTGGTTTGCTCCAGCCAGCTCCACGCGGCACCTGGCAGATGGCAGCCTAAGGCAGCTTACCGTGATGGAGGACTTCCCAGCTGTGTTCCCGTGCTTCAGCAAGGATTTGGACAGCTTCCTCTGGGAAACAATCTGCACAAGGAAACGAAAGGTGGAGATAGCGGTCATACAGCTGCAGGTCTACTTAATATAGTCCCCTCTACAAATCCTTCATTCAGCTCTGCCTGAAACGATGACATCTATGTGCGCTGATTTTCCAAGGACTTTCCACAAACCTCTCCTAAATACAGGCATTTCCCTTTCCTCCTATGACATGTGATGTAAGAGAGTGTGTGATGAATGATAGAGAACTCAGTCACTTAGGAGGTGGTTTACTTACTGCTGAGGGATTGTTACCAAAGTTAGATGGCAAACACTGACTATAGGTACATGAAGATAAAATAGATGAAGTTTCAGAATGATCTCCAATCAGCACTAAAACCTCTGTGTGCAGTGAGGGGATGGGGGTGCAGAGAGGGAAAGAAAACCAGGATCTAAATATACACATTTTGTATCTGTTAGTTCTTGAGTTCTATTTTTAATATATTCATTAGGAAGCTGTAAAATAAGTCACCAGGAAACTGATGCTCAGACAAGCCAATATCAGTAATTGGGGTTATCTCCATGATTAAGTGTTAATGCACAACGTGCAAAGACAATTAAAATTGTTTATATTAGGAGCTATTTTTAGCAGAACTTGCCCCACCCCCCTCCTCCCCTCTTCCTTTTTTTTTTTTTTTTTTTTTTTTAAGACAAGTGTGACAAGTGTGGCCCTGATGGATATGCTACCCATGATTGCCAAAGGAGAAAAGGCTTAAAGGAATCAAGTGAAAGCCAGGCTCATGCCTAGAGAGAAGGAAGTCACCCCTTGCATTAGGCAGCTTCTTATCTAAGACAACTCCCAATGACCCTCACCTCCTGATATTCATCCCATTGTGAAATTTCACCTCCTGGGGTGTGAATAGATCCAATGACTTGTTTCTAATGACCAGGACACCATAAAAGTGATGGGATGTCACTTCTGAGGTTAAGTTACCAATTGGATGTGCCTTCCTTCTTGCTCACCATTTCTCGCTCTCTCTCAGAGCCCCGGGGCGAAGCAAGCTGCAACACTATGAGAAATCCTAGAGAGCAGCCCCTGTGGACAAGGCTTGATTTCCAGTCAACAGCCAGGGAGAACCCAAGGCCTGCCTACAGCCACATGAGTGAGCATGGAAGCAGGTCCTCTCCCAGGTTGAGTTTTTGCATAACTCAACAGCAGCCTTGAGAGACCCTGCTCCAAAGGACAAGCTATGCTGCCCCCTCACCCCTACCCTGATTTCTGACTCACAGAAATGGTGAGATGTTTATTATTTAAAAATTGTCAAGTTTGGGGGTGACTTTTAAAGGCAGTATTAAGTAACAATACACATATAATTTACAGAAAGAGAAGAAAGGCAATCGCTCTGGAAAGCAGGAAGACACACCTATTCTCAGAAATTCTTATCTTTTTGTCTCGATGTTAGAGCAATGAAAATTCTGAGTGTGCTAAAGTCAAATGCAAAATGTTCACAGAACTTCCATAGGTCAAGAAGATTTAAAGACACTATTGTTTAGTTATCTCTAATTGGAAGAGGAAAGAGTATTTATATTTAAAAAATCACCTCGTGATGATGGTGATGACGACTATGACAAAGATGGCAATGGGAACTCCCATTGAAATAGAGCATATTATGTGGCAGATGCTTTATTCACTCCACAAATAGTTACTTAGCCCTACCTGAGTGCGGGGCTTGGTGCTAGGCATGAAGAATAAAATGGAGCTTATATTCTGGAAAAGGAGATTAGAATTAACCAAATGGTCAAATGAACGAAGAGAGAACTTGTCCCAGAGGAGAGTCGCACTGGAGGTGGGGAAATGAATGTCCAGATGGTGAGGTAGATGGAAGTGGACCGTGTAAGAATTTCTTATGGGAAACTAGGCTGGGGATGATAGAGATGGAGAGAAAAGGCTGGGTTTATGAGATATTTAAATGTAAAACGTTAGTCAGAATTTAGAAATGGACTGAATATGGAGGAAGAGGGAAGCATCATAAGTTCACTGAGATAAGGGATATGAGAAGAGGACATTAAGTTTGGGGGCAAAGAACACATGATCAGGTTTGGAACAGAAAACAGGTTGGAGGAGGTTGAAGAGGAAAGGAAGAGGGAAGGAAATGGAGCAAGCACGTGAGGACAATTCTTTCAATAAGTTTGGCTATGAAGTGGGGAAGAGTCATTTGCAGGGAATGAGAAATTGAGTAACATTTTGATTTAGTGGTCACTTTGATGCACATTTTACAGCCCCATAAATTTGGTATTATAAATTTCCTTTTCTAAATGAGAAAAATAGGACACAGAGAGTTAGAGTAATTTTTTCAAGGACACAGATTTAAGAGGCAAGGATTTTATCATTGGTCTGATGTCAGAAACTGATCTCTAGCAACATTCTGACTGGTAAACAAACTTATGACAGATTTAGAAAATTCTCACAGTTGGATTTGTACTACATGTGTTTGCATTTAAGCCCTGGATCCTATGTTAGTGTGCTTAACCATGTAGAACAGTGTTTCCCAAAGTGTGGTACACATACCCCAAGGGGTACGGGAAGAGTTTGGTGGGGGTACATATTGCACTGGAGTTTGGTGGGGATATGCACTGCAACATGCTTAGCTGCACCTAATTCTACGTTCTCATGAGTACGAGGGGTACTCAACGTTATGAAAATTATAGAAGGGGTACACATATGTCAAAAGTTTGGGAAACACTGGTGTAGAAGATTGTAAAGAAATAATCAAGTTAGACTTCAAGAATGAATTAATCTGAAGGCCTTAGTTAAGGGCAGTGTAGCATAATTATTAAGAACATAGGATTTTTTAAATTTACAGCTGGCTATCAATAAAATGACATGAAAAATTCAGGTGATAAAAGGAATTGGCATTCCATCCTATAACTATTCCTGAATCCAAATACCTCATCTTTCCCACCCTATTCATTAAGAATTTGCCAGTTGTTCTTGTTCTGTAGACAAATCATTATCCCTTCTCCCTCCCCATTCACAGATTATGAAAGCTACCATTTACTAGGAAAAATGTAGACATTATTCTTGAACTTGAGATGAACCAGAACTCAGAGGAAACAGAAAACAAACAGCATTAGAAGACTCTAGTTTCTCTCCAGGGGTTTTTCAGCAAGGGGGGATGAAGAAGACCAATAAATACATGAAAGAATGAGGGCCACCAGTAAGCAGTTGCCAGGTTAACATCAGACCAAAGAAAGGCAACATACCTTATTTCTCAAATAAATCTGATCTCAGAAATATTGTGTTTCATCCGCATTGGTTACCTACCTATATGGCTCCAAATGACCTCAACAACCCTCTCAGCACTGTAATAACCCACTCACTCGGTTATTAGGTATGGACAGATGGTCTTTACAGACTGTCTTCCAAGATTATTCTTCAAGGAAAACCAAGGGAGACTTAACCAGTGAAAACCTGGATAGTCACAGTTCTCCCCTCACTCTTACCTAGAAATGCCAGCATTTTCACTTGTAGGGTGTGAAGAGAATGCTACTATATTCCAGCTCCTGCCTTTTACAAATTCTAGGAAGAAAGTAATTGCCAAAAAAATATTCCTTATTAAAAAGTGGGCAACTAGATATACAAACGGCTAATCATGCAGGCGATTAAACTTATTTTACAGCCCCCGGGCCTCCATCTCAGCTCCAAAGAATGAGTGATAATTAGGGTTTGAAACCCTTTCTTATAATATAAAACATTATAATAGTGATGGACAACAGTGATGCTGCTGTTCTCACAATTGCTGGGGAAAAAATACTAGGGATGCCCAGATGGAGCAGTGATCTGTAGAGAAAAGCCCATTTGTTTGCAAATCCCACTTCTCCTGTATGCTTTGTTGCAGCCGAAGCAACTGCATCAGGCTCATAAAGGCTTTAGGTCTTGACAGAGGGTGAGAGAGAATGACAAGGACTCACCCTGGTCCCAGCTGACATTTGAGGCCAACAAATAGCTAGCTATACCTGGCAATAAGATAAAGGAGATGTGCTTGTCAGAAGTCCTCTAATTTGATTATTTTCACCCCTTTGTGGGGTCACAGGTGCAATTCTTAGCCTTCAACAAGAGTGGCATTTAAAGGGAGAAAATAGAAGTTGGGATACTCTTTTAAGCAAAGTTGGACCAGAGGAATGTTAGTCCCATTAAGTTTATGATTTGCATTCTCACATGGATATGGGGAGGAAGTGGTTCATCCCCTATGAAGTAGACAAATTCTGAAAGCATAGGTCCTCATTTTATAGAGGAGTCTACTCTTTCATTCAGGGGTCCTCAAACTTTTTAAAGTGGGGGCCAGATCACGGTCCCTCAGAGAGCTGGAGGGCCGGACTATATGAACTACTAATTCCTACTGTAACACCTCGGCTGCGCTCACTGCCCAAAAAACCTGGCGGGCCGGATCAGACTCCTCTGTGGGCCGCATGTGGCCCGCGGGCCGTAGTTTGAAGACGCCTGGACGACTGGGAATGAAGCCAGGAGAATTAGAAATGCTTCGGCCAATATTTCAGCAAGTGTATGTATATTCAACTGAATTTTCTTTCAAAGTCTTTCAAAAACAGTCATTTTGGGGATTAAGCAGTTATTTTTCACAAGACTGTTTTTACTGAACATATTTTTCAGATGCTTTTTTGAAATAGCTGTAAGACTCTGTTGCACCAATGAACATTGATTGAAAATTTTTTTCTGTGCCAGACACTGCTCTGGGGCTACAGTGGTGAACAGATTAAAAACACCTTTACTTGACAGTCACATATCTATTAGCCAGAACTGATAATCTCCAAAGGATGTATCAGAGACCTTTCATTCCTTAGAAGTTTATATATTGTATAAAAATGTCTTCCTATAGTAGGTCTGGAAATCACAGAATAGAAAGGCATCTCAACTGAAGGACATCAATAGAGCTTTAGTGGGAAATCCCCAAGGACAACCCTCTACTGAGCATTGCTTACAATTGTTTGGCCCCAGAACCCCTAGGTACTTTAGCACAATGTCTATAGTAGGA